TGTTGTGTGTGAGTGTGTGTGTGTGTGTGTGTGTGTGTGTGTGTGTGTGTGTGTGTGTGTGTGTGTGTATGGAGGCTCGTGAGGTACCTTATAGGATGGCGACGTCAGCAGTGGTGCGACGTTCTCGATTGCGCCGTTGTTAAACAAAACTGTCTGATGCTCTGGAGTCTGAACAAACACAGACATGTAAAAAGCCTAGAAGACCTAAAGCAGGGTTTAAAACTGCTCAGGAGCTACAACTGCACACCAAAGGAATAACACAAGGAAGACAGCACTTAAATGAATCTGTTTAGGTCAGTGTTCTGTAAACTCTGTCAGGTCAAAAGGTCGAAACAGTCCAAAAATACTAAAAGAATCTATTAAAGTAATGGTTTAGTGAAATATATATTTTCTGCTTTCCCCAAATGAAGTATCATTATTATTATGTATGTAGCTATGTAATGTCACATTTAAAATGAAAACTTGTAAGATAGCCATTATGGTGCTTTTTTTTTTTTTTTTTTTTTACAGTTTCAATGTGCAACTGTATCTCCAGCAAAACTCCTAGGTTTATGATACACTTTTCTAAGTAAAGATGAAAAACAGGGTCTTTAGAGCAATTCCATAGAGGAGCCATTTTTCATTCCATAAAGAATCTTTTAGTCTGTGATTCTTTAGCCATTTTTATTTATTTATTTTTTTTTGCTGCTGTCCAAATAGACTTTTACTCCAATAAACCGAATAAACCACAAAGATCCCTCCACATGTATGTTATTTTTTTGTAGTGCAAACAATATAACTGATTATTATCAGGGTATATGGTATCACTCTAAAGAACATTTCCTTGCACTTTTATTATTAATTTAAAAAAGTGGGAGGAAAGTAATGGAAACGTCACAAAGTATATTCTGGGCAATTGGAAAATAGTATAAAGTAGTGAGTAAATAGCTAAAATGTCTGCTTCAGAGGTGAAGTCATATTTCTTCTTGGGCTATTATTATTAGACCAAGTGTTTTCTTTTTTGTGTGTTTTTGAATTTTTAAATGTCACTTAAATTCAGCAGAAAGTGGTTTAATGGTTTAACACATATACACTGACCTTTTGACAGTGCTGTAAAGTACAAATGTCAGTATGTACAGAGGGTGTGTGTGTGTGTGTGTGTGCGCGTGTGTGCGCGTGTGTGTGTGTGTGTCAGACCTTGCAGCAGTGAGAGAAAATCTGGGTGATGTACTCCTGTGTGCGCTGGGACCGGCTCAGCAGAGACATCAGGTGAGGGATCACAGTGGGGTCCTAATGAGAATAAGAGTGCGTATATGAGTACGTATCAACTTCACATATCCATGTCTACATCCGGCCTCTTTTATGAATGATTTCGTATAATCTGATCTTAAATTCCATGGTTATGATTTTACGTGATGTACAGATCAATGTCCAAGAAAAGTAACAAGTATGTGTGAACTAGTACGAGTGTGTAGTAGTTTTACTTCATCCCTCACAGTAGTATATGTGACTTTTAGTCATGCCAGGGCAAAAAAAAGACTGAATCGAACTTCTGAGTAACGAATGAATAACAATTGCAAAGAATTAAAATACACAGCAGACAGTAAATTTGACACAACAACAGAAACGACTACAGAAACAAAAAATATGGTCTGTAAAAAATTGATCACACATGATTTTTCAGTAAAATAATCATACTGCCAATTATCAATAAATTATCAACAGGTTAACTATGATGGGAATTTCACATCTCTGGTCTGATATTATTCTTTGGCTCTCTATACCAGCGGCTTTCACACAGGGACTGGTGACTCCCAGGGAGTGGCTTTCTTTTTTCCCAGGATCGTGAATTCGACCATTCTAAAAGTTATTATATTGATTATTAAGCTCTTAGTTAACCTCAACAACTCAAAAGAAAGTTACAAATAACATCAGCTTAGATCTAATGTGTTGTGCTGGTGGATAGTTAATACTATGGTTCAGATAAATAGGCACAATATTATTGTACACACTTGAATAATGAGCCTAATATTCAAAAAGTTGAATTATGTTTGTGAAGTAAATCTGTGAAATGTTACAGAGCCAAGGATTTATACACATGTGCTGAAATCTGGGGAGAGTAAACAGTCGAGTTTGCTCTCTCTCTCTCTCTCTCTCTCTCTCTCTCTCTCTGCTAGACTGTACTATAGAGTGAGTTTTCTAAAACCAGTTAGATTTTTTGTTTTTTTCCCCCCATATACGGCCATACGGCTATTATTACTTTTAAGACTAATGACAGATGTCTCACTGTATAAGGATATTTGAGGCTATTCTCTCAGTGGACGTGTGCATCTCTTCCATATGCACTTGATTTTAAGATGATTTCCGATTAATAAACAGGCCACTGGTGATGAATTAGGATTTTTTTCAGTGGTATGGGAATTTGAGGAATATTTATTAATTAATTCTACATCCACATTTAGGATTGCTCTATTCACTGCTTTATAGATGCAGCCTCGGGTGTTAATTCTAATACACAGCGCCATAGAAAAGAACACAGCAGTACATACTGTAAGTGGTTGATTTGTTAGGACATGTACACACCATTGTCTTAAAAGTTATCTACAAGTACAGCAATAACACGACTAGCAGGCAACAATGCACCTCAAGCCTACAGCGAGTGCTGTCCCATGCCGTCTTACCGTGTAGAGTAGCTGCACCGGAGTGACAGGACTGATGAAGACTGTTCTTAAGCAGCGCAGACAGGCCTCGATGAAGACCAGGTCAGGACACAAGAGACCTGCCACGTAATCAGAATCACCTTTATTGCCAAGTACATGTACAAGGAATTTATCTTGCTGTACTGGTGCTTAGTTATAACAGTAAAATACAAGAAATATAAATAATATTAATAAGGTAAACATTGTAAGGTAAGATAAGAAAGTAAAAGAGAGAAGAGAAAGTTATGAAATGAGAAGCATAAATATAAAGTAACTATAAAGCTATGAAAACTATGAGCGTAAATATAAAGATTTAGGAAAATAAAAATAGAAACATTAATTGTACGTCATTGCAGGATGTACTAAGACCCAACTTATCATCATTTTACTAGTACAGAGCTTCGAGTGGGAACAGAAAAGCAGAGGAAGAGAGAATGAGACAGGGAGGAGTGGACAGAGACCTTGCAGCAGGGCGGGGATGATGTGACAGTCCACCAGGGACTTGATGTTGTTCTCGGTGCCCATGGCCAGGCTGCCTAACACCACTGCACACTCTGTCCTCAACTCTGCACTGGACGAGCTCTGCTGGAGTAAATACAGGAGTCTACACACACACACACACACCTCAAATGTTATACAACAGTTTTAACATTAAAGAAGTATTTTATCCACTGCTTTACAATTAATCAAAATACAGTCAGTGTCAGGCAGCACAATGTCACTACTACTGCACAGATCATTAGCAATGCTGTATAAAAAACTGCTGTACACATTTTCTAGAAAGGGGTCATCCACTGGTGAACCATAGTTCGGTTACTGTCCCGGCAAAATATTTCAGCGGCTGGAGCTGAGCACTCGAAAATACTGTAGTGCGACCGACCAATGTATGGAAGAAAAACACGTACATGTCCATCTCTCTCCTGAAATTTTACAGAGATGTTAATATTAGCAGGTACAGACTCATTTCCAGATCAGTTCAGGGCACTAGAACAATCACCACTGACCACTGAGCTACAGTATTGGATCAGTGCGGGGTATGAAGCTGTGTGTTGTGGGTATATGATATTATTAGCACACGACTACTACAAATGCGTGTGCACAAAAAGCAGCCGCGGCTATATTCAGCCGTGTCGGTGTACAATGTGACTCCGGGAGCTGAATGAAGGGCACACGTGGCTCCACCTACCTGGGCACGGCTCCCAGCACAATCAGGTTAGCCTTCTGTTTGTTGTTTCCAATCACAGCGTTCTTCATGTCACTGTCAAAACAATTCAGTTTTATATATTACATTACTTAAAACACCAACATGATCCATTACTGTCCAGGATACATATTAATAAGAATTCATCAGGTCATCTCTGCCCGCATTACTGCTCAGATTGGTACGGAAGAGACTGAGGCCAGGTTATGTTAGAAGCAGGTCAGGCTATACACACCCTAGCCATCATTTAAACTCTACACAGCTCCACGCATCCATACAGACACCTGCTTCTACAAAACATTTAGTAGTAAAATACTCTTTGTAGGCGTACGTGAAATGATGACTGTCAGTGATGCCTCTGCAAATCTATGGAGTTGTATCCACTAGGCTGACACACAAGGAAAACCACTTCCTGTTTACAAATTTGAGTTCAGTACAACATTAATATACAGAGAGCCCTACTGAACTAAAGAAATGGTTTTTGCTCCCAGGTCTGTTGGTGCCCGCAGTCCAGTTTTAATCTATGGGATTAGAGCAGTTGAGCAGGTAACAACATATACAGGTGCATCTCAATAAATTAGAATGTCGTGGAAATGTTCATTTATTTCAGTAATTCAACTCAAATAGTGAAACTTGTGTATTATATAAATTTAATGCACACAGACTGAAGTAGTTTAAGTCTTTGGTTCTTTTAATTCTGATGATTTTGGCTCACATTTAACAAAAACCCACCAATTCACTATCTGAATGAACTATCTGTCTGTGTGCACTGAATTTATATAACACACGAGTTTCACTATTTGAGTTGAATTACTGAAATAAATGAACTTTTCCACGACATTCTAATTTATTGAGATGCACCCATAAGTATTTAGGGATTCATTTTGCTTTTCAGTTACAATGGGCTCATCAAGTGGAGTATGTTTGCTCATGAATTAGTCAACGTTTGCATTTTTTTTGGTGAAGGCTTAGGGTCCATGGAGTGGATAAAAGCACTACGTTATTGTTTTACAAGGCAGCCGGTGAATCCATTATTTGTTATGGTATTACAACATGGTCTGGTAACCTGTCCATTAACCTCAGATCCAAAACCTGCTTAGAAGGCCTGGAAAAATAATCGGGGCAGTGGTAGCTCAGTGGTTTAACTGTTGGACTACTGATCGGAAGGTCACGAGTTCAATCCCCAGCACTGCCAAGCTGCCACTGCTGGGCCCTTGAGCAAGCGCCTTAACCCTCAACTGCTCAGTTGTATAAAATGTGATAAACGTAAGTCGCTCTGGATAAGTGTGTCTGCCAAATGCCGTAAATGTAAATGTAATCGGCATGCTGCACTCGCCTTCTCTTCAGGAGATATTTGAGGAAACTGTGACGAAGCAGAGCCTTAAAATCATTTGTGACCCAAACCACATCCTTCACAAAGAGTACGAATTGATGCCATGTAGGTGTATTTTGACTGTATATATGTATAGTAACATCACTTGTGTTCTTGAGTGCCCAAAAGAAATTTCTCCTAAGGGAGACAATAAAGTCTAATTTATGCGCAGCATAATCACAAAGCGTACACGTTCAAGCTCACTTTAGCCGACATTACCTAGTTAGCTAGCCTGATCTATCTTCCTAACATTTTTCTCTATTGTTTGAATATATAATGTATAATAAAATCAGTGGTTATAAATGTCAAACATAATCTGTGGTTTAAATATGGATAAAAAAAAAAATTGCCTGCCATCATTCAATGAAAAGAAAGGGGAATGGGGCAAAATAACAGTCAAAGACTTTTTTTTTTTTTTTTTTTTACTAAATAAATGTGATTTCAATATTGAGTTAAATAATTTCAGTCTGCAGCTCTACATGGATCACATGGATGTAAGAAGCTGAGATGAAGCTGCTAATAAGAGTGTGGAAAAGTACTGATGAAGCAGACGGTTAGCCGTAACTAGAGCTCCGAGCTAAAAATAAAGCTGAAAAGATTGTGCACGTTCACAACACAGGAACATACACACACTAGTGAAACATGAATGTGAACAGATACAAGGTGCTGCCTCACACTGTCTCTCTCTCACACACACACACACACACACACACACACACACACACACACACACACACACACACACACACACACAGTTCACATTCATGATGCACATCCCACACTTCTATACCTACAGGTAGACATCGGTACGGGCTAATCGTCAACCAGCCAGGCCTGAGGAGGACGAGTGCACAGACGAGAAGATTTCATACTATTTGTGATTTGTTTAGTCATGTAACAAAGCGTGGTTATTTTGCTTCTGTCGCCATTTTGGTGATTATAGGTATGGTAAATTGTATGAGGTGTTAATTCCTTCTCGTTACCATTTCATACCTTGTTTGGCACATGTTTGTTTCAAGGTTTGTTTATTCTTTAATTTTGTGTTTTATGTTCTTTTCTGTTTAGCTCCTGCGGTGATTCATGATGTCATGATGGTGATTTCACAGAGATTCTACAGTGGTCTCATGGTGATTTTACGGTGAATCGACGCTGATTTGTGATTAATAAACTGACTGTAAAAGAGTTGACCATCTTTAACCAGAGAGCTACACTAATGTATACTCACATGACTCCTTGGAGCACTTTCTGTGGGTCGGGGTCGAAGAGCCGGTCAACATAATGGCGACTGGTGGCTGTGACTTCCTGCATAGTGACAAGACAACAATCACAAATCAGTGCATTTAACCCACTTCAAATCCCAGGGCAGAAAACAGCTCAGAGAGGCAGAGCGGCAGGACGTGAGCTGGGAAACCCCCATTCTGCCCAGCGCTAGCCCTGAATCCAGCCATCGCCAGCTCTCTTGGGCAACGAAACGAAGATCTGACACTTGATAACCGTGTTTGTTTGCTTTCATCCGTGGACAGAAGTTTCTAGAAGGACTGGGACCAGTTAGATCACTTTATAGGAACTCCAGATCCTTGACGTAAGCATAGCGGCCTGAACCTCGGGAACAAACTCTCAGGCTCAAATATCAACCCTGGCATGTCAGAGCACCTTACATAAGCACTAATACTAAGCATAAGGGCAAGTCGTCTAATGTTTTGGAAACACAGCCTTCTTGGATGTCAAATAGTGTCACTGCTGCATAAACAAAAACCTTCAGCGGAGTTAGAATGATGAGGACGAGAGATTTGCATTTCTGTCTTATCAAAATCAGGACGACAGCTGAGAGTCACATGACAGAAGCACTCCCGAGAGTCACATGACACCTCTCAGAAATCCTAAACACACACACTGCTAGAACTATTCCCTACAAATGACAACGCGCATACAGGCTCACGAGTGTGCAGGATAATCTCCACAATGCTTTCAGACGTGAATATAAAATGGTTTGACTTTTGAAACGGTGTACAGTGCTGACCACGGATCAGCTGACACTGGCTGCGAAAGCCACACTAATGACGGCTTTGAGTCCAATACTGAGCGAAGGATGACTTGCAACTTTGTATTGTATTAATGTTTCATTCTGCAGAATCACAGACCCTGTGTACACCCGGTTACTCCAAGTGCTGTGTATGTGAACTGCATGTGTCCGGGTGGACGTATAACGTACTGGGTGGAGGTTGGCACATGTGCATTCCACCTTATCCTGGTATAACGCTCATACTCAAATCACATGCCACGGTCAACAGCAAACAAGGTTCTGTTTTAATGTGGATAAACTCCGCCCAGATATAATAATATACAATCTGAATGATACTCAAAATGGTGTCACAGGTGCGAGTTGTCCCTGGTTCGATCTCTGCGACTGTCCGGGTTCTCTAGTTTCTTCCTACTTCCCAAAAACATGCTGGTAGATCTTGCCTCGACTCTAAATAATTATTAGATGTGAATGAATGTGAGCGTCCTTCGCCCTGTGTGCTTGGAGTTTGCAGGTTCTCCCCGTGCTTCAGGGGTTTCCTCCTGGTACTCCGGTTTCCTCCCCTAGTCCAAAGACATGCTGTTGTAGGCTGACTGGCATCTCTAAATTGTCTGTAGTGTGTGAGTGTGTGTGATTGTGCCCTGCGATGGGTTGCTACCCTGTCCAGGGTGTCCCCCGCTTCCAGGCTCCCTGCGACCCTGTGTAGGATAAGTGGTACAGAAAATGGATGGAATGTAAGTGTATGTTGTCCTGCGATGGCCGGGATTCCCATCCAGAGTGTATTCTCCCCTCACAACCAGTGTTCCCGGGATAGTCTCCAGATCCACCACAACCCTGACTGGGCCAAAGCAGTTATGCAAGTACGGAAGGACATACAGGAAGTAGAGTTTGCAGGACACCATATACACTCACTTTCATAACAGTTTAGAGTCAAGTCCACCTACCGGCATGTTTCTGGGAAGTAAGAAGAAACCAGAGAACCTGGAGGAAACCCACACAAGGATCAAACCCGGGACAACGCCACACACTACACACCCGTGACACCACTTTGAGTTTCATTTGAATCCTACATTATTATATAAGACGGTTTGTAAATGGATGGAAAAAATAAAATAAGCTTCAGATCTCCTGATCAGGATTTAGACCCATTTTAAACTTGTCTTGGATGCTCAATTGCATTACACTGAAATGTTTATGTGATTAATCCATATCTTGGTATAATTCTCATACTTACAACACATCTAATAAACTGATAACAATCTGGGAAAGAAGATGTTGACATATTGCTCTAAAAACGAAACTAACTTTACATAGTATATAAAGCACCACAAACAATTAAGGCTAAATTCCAAACAGCTTCCTACTTCCTACAGAGGTGCCCTAGGCAGGGGGTACACAGCGTGCCCCTGTAGTCTATTTAGTGCACTATATGTCCCGTTTGGAGCGGTTTGGTACTCAGCGCAACAGATTTTCTCCTCTTCAGAGTAGAGGAGCAACAAGACAGGGGGCGTTTACTTTCACTTAGCCTGCTAGCCTGACAGCTGCACAGCACTAACTCACATTCTACTTCCTACATGACCAGAGAACGCTATACATCCTCCAAATGTGAATACATCACAAATAAATGACCTATTTCACCTCAGGTAAAGTGCGGGACACTTTAGCTCTTGCTAGCCATCCAGCTACACGGCTAAGTAGCAACAAGCCTGTAAACTACCACAACTTCACTGCTGCTAGCAGGACTAGCTAACTCAGGAGCTATCTCTAAATCTAGGGTCTGATCCCTGACTAAATGTTTCATTAATTTTTTACACCCAAACTGGAAATATTTCCGCGGACTACATGCAGTAAGCGAGTGGAAGACGAGTCACACGGCATCCTCTCCGCCCCGCGCCGGTATGTGAACTCATTCCGGGTGACCGTCAGCCAACCTCTCGCTTCCCAACAGACACACACACACACACACACAGCTTCAGCCCAGACTATCACCTCACATCAAACACACTCGGGTCTGCCATGTCGGACAACAGGCACGCATAAGAGAATGAGTTTGTTAGTGACAAAGCGACAGAGACTCACAGATAACACGCTGATGCGTAGAGGGGCCTCCAGCAAGCACGCCATCTCTCTCTCCCCCTGAGCGAGAGACGATCCGCAAACGCACTTTCCACACGATCCGCCCCGACCTGTCATCTACACCCAGCGCCGCTGCCTCTGGACTAGACTGAAATTACCTGTATTATTATTATTATTATTATTATAATAATAATAATTATTATTATTATTATAATATAGTAGTAGTAGTAGTAGTGTCAGTAGTAGTGTCAGTAGTAGTAGTGTCAGTAATAGTAGTGTCAGTAGTAGTGTCAGTAGTGTCAATAGTTGTAGTAGTATCAGTAGTAGTAGTAGTGTCAGTAATAGTAGTGTCAGTAGTAGTATCAGTAGTAGTAGTAGTGTCAGTAATAGTAGTGTCAGTAGTAGTATCAGTAGTAGTAGTAGTGTCAGTAATAGTAGTGTCAGTAGTAGTATCAGTAGTAGTAGTAGTGTCAGTAATAGTAGTGTCAGTAGTAGTATCAGTAGTGTCAATAGTTGTAGTAGTATCAGTAGTAGTAGTAGTGTCAGTAATAGTAGTGTCAGTAGTAGTATCAGTAGTATCAGTAGTAGTATCAGTAGTAGTAGTAGTGTCAGTAGTAGTAGTGTCAGTAGTAGTATCAGTAGTGTCAATAGTTGTAGTAGTATCAGTAGTAGTAGTAGTAGTAGTAGTAGTAGTATCAGTAGTAGTAGTAGTGTCAGTAGTAGTGTCAGTAATAGTGTCAGTAATAGTATCAGTAGTGTCAATAGTTGTAGTAGTATCAGTAGTAGTAGTAGTGTCAGTAGTAGTATCAGTAGTAGTAGTAGTAGTATCAGTAGTAGTAGTAGTGTCAGTTGTAGTGTCAGTAGTAGTATCAGTAATAGTAGTAGTAGTAGTAGTGTCAGTAATAGTGTCAGTAGTAGTGTCAGTAGTAGTAGTAGAAGCAGTAGTAGTATCAGTAGTAGTATTAGTGTCAGTAGTAGTATCAGTAGTAGTAGTAGTAGTAGAAGCAGTAGTAGAAGTATCAGTAGTAGTAGTAGTAGTAGAAGCAGTAGTAGAAGTATCAGTAGTAGTAGTAGTAGTAGAAGCAGTAGTAGAAGCAGTAGTAGTAGTGTTGCACTTATTTATGTTCTCATATGAATAAAATTGTGTTATGTACACTTTTTTAAAACAAGTACATGGCATTGCTTTTTTGAAAGGTTACATTTTATAAACTTGTAAAATTACTCGTAGTAATCCTAGTAAGTTTAAAAGCTTATAAGGGTTCCTGTAATATCCATAACGGAAAGTGCGTCTTTGTTACAAAAATACATATACCTAAAGAAACTAATAAACCGGCCGCGCATGCGCATTGCGCACGGCGAAAGACAGCTCAGTTCTTGCGCTAACTGCTGCTGTAACAAAATTGCTGTGACGTAGCGTACTACACACAGGTATGTAAAGATAACGTGCTTGATTTTAAAACGCAGTGCTAGTCACAGTGCTGTGCCATTGAACACAATACACAGCGTGCTTGTGTTTGTTTAATGAGGATACAACGACTAGTGAGCTAACTAGCATGCTTGCTCTGCTAGTGTGTTGTTAGCCGCCTGATGGATAGTAACATTAGCCGAATTCCAAATGTCTTCCTGTTGGATTTATAGTACACTGCTTAGGGTGTAGACTAAACTAGTGTTAATTTGTTCCGCAGGTGTGAGGGTGTAGTGTTGTGGCGGGATGCTAATGGCACTGAGACCAAAGATCTAAGAGGATCTTCTGCTGATCTTACCTGTTTGCTTCCACTTCAGCAGGAGAAACAAACAAACAAACAAACAAGCAAACAGATATGAAAATAGCAGTGGAAGGCTGCTGCCATGGCGAGCTGGACAAGATCTACGAGACCATTGGCTACCTCGAGCGTAAGGAAGGCATTAAGGTGGACGTGCTGCTGTGCTGTGGGGATTTCCAGGCTGTGAGGAATGAAGGAGACCTGAAGTGCATGGCAGTGCCAACCAAGTACAGGCACATGCAGACCTTTTACAAGTAAGCAACCTCACAATTACGTCGAACAAATTTTCTTTTCGTTGCTGATTCGTTTCTGATGTCTTGTGCACTGGCTTGTGGAAGGTACTATTCAGGGGAGAAGAAAGCGCCTGTCCTGACCATCTTCATCGGTGGCAACCATGAGGCTTCTAACCATCTGCAAGAGCTTCCCTATGGAGGCTGGGTGGCCCCGAATATATACTATTTGGGTAAGAAATATTGGGTAGTGTGTGTGTGTGTGTGTGTGTGTGTGCGCACTGCTTCTGGTTACCTATGCTCCTAGTTGACTAGAAGACATGGAATTTTGAGGCAGAGGCATAAATCCTTTCAAGCAGGCTATAAACCTCTAATGTATTGTATTGTATGTTTTGAGTGTTTCAATTCATTGTATGTTATGTGTGTAGCATTTTTAACAATAGATATTGTCACAAAGCAGTTTTACAGATGTAGATTTAGATCCCAAGTGAAAGAAAGAGGTGACGGTGGCAAGGAAAAACTCCCTGAGGAAGAAAACTTTGAGAGGAACCAGACTCAAAAGGAAATCCTCCTTATAGTGGGATTATAAATCATTACTCCTCTACAGCAGAAGTACTAATTGCAATATAACAATCGTCTGTACATGATATTACACCGCTCCATGTATATTATATTACCAGATCTGCCGGCTTTTATACATTTTGCATAGGAGCTCCATGCTTTAACACTGGATTACGCTAGCACCAGTTATCACTACGTTTCGGCTCTGGACATTAAATCGTTTCTTGTGTTTGTTTGTTTTTTTTTTTAATGCTTAATCACAAGCAGGAATAAATCAGTAATCACACAAGCCTAGTACTGAGGATGTTGAAAAGATGTTTTTTATGAGCATCAGAGTCTGATTATGATTTTACAGCAGCAGTTCAAATTTTAACCCTTTCTCTCAGTACACTGGCGTTCCATTCCACCGGCGGAATGGAAATCGACTTATCAGACATTTTCAATCAGTATAAACAAATGAATCATATTAGTGCCACAGGTCTCTTATAAGATTGGTCAGGTCACGGTTGGGTTTCTGTGTGTAGAGGATCATGGCTCTGTGTTTAGCTGCGGGTGAGCAGGGCGATGGGAAAGGGGAGGAGTGTGAGCCCGCTGCTGGGCAAACAACTCGCATCTCTCCACAATAACACTGGTACAGAGAGAAACCAGACAGCACAACTAAAAGTGTTTTAATACTAAAACAACGTATACAACTGCCACAATAAAATAAGATTTAAACTTAGTAAGCTGGTAAAAAAAAAAAAAAAACGAGAAATATTTAGGAAAACTGCAAATTCTTAAAGCCCTGAGTGTCTACTTTCATATCAGCCATTAATCACTACTGTGGAATGTGACATCATAAATAAAATCAATGCTGAACACCGGCAACCACAAAAGAGTGGAAATTAAATTCCTGGTAAAAAGAGTTAAACGACCCTGTTTTACTCGTCTGTCATTGCAGGTTATGCTGGTGTCGTTCGCTACAGAGGTATACGGATCGGTGGCCTTTCTGGAATTTTTAAAACACACGATTACAGAAGAGGTAAAGCAAATATTCCAAGTCAAGTCGAGCTTCATTGTCATTCTGCTACACGTGTGGACATATAGTGGAACCAAATGTTGTCTCGCAGGACCACGGTGCTACACACGAGTTAAACATAAATATGAACATAGAAGTATAAGAAAAACAGTTAAGTTGACTATGCATACTTTACAAAAACTTTACATAGATACTGTGAATGAAATTGTGCAAAAGAGAGATTTTGAGGGAAGCAGCGCAAAGTGCAAGATGATTTGTAGTGCAATGCACAAGTAAACATATTATCAAACTGAGTCTTTGTGTGAGGGAGTGTCTATAAACAGTGTTCAGTGTACATTCAGAGAAAAGAGTGTGTTACTACAGGTGGTTCGTATAGCCCACTCACCTGTGTGTAGCACACTCAGAATTGCACTTAAACAGATTGTCAGTTTTTCATGAGTCGGGGGGAGGGAGTGAGGTGTTCATGGTTTCAGGAGGTAGGGTTGTGGATGAGGTCTCAGAGGGGGACAGGGAGATTGGAGTTGAGGGCTCTCACAGCCTGGGGGAAAAAGCTGTTGAGCAATCTGACAGAGCGGGCTTGGATACTCCGGTACCTTCTACCTGATGGCAGGAGCTGGAAGAGATTGTGGGAGGGATGGTTAGGGTCCTTCACGATGCTATCCAGCTATCCAAACTTACCAAACCCACAACTAAGGTGTTAACTCTTAAATCTGTATCTGTTTCCAGGGCACTATGAGTTTCCACCATACAACCAAGAAACCCTGCGCAGTGTCTACCACATTAGAAACAGTGACGTCTTTAAGCTTAAACAGGTAACACATCTGACTAAGAGTAAGGGAATTATAAGGAAGGCTTATAATCAAAAGCTAGTACTGTAATCCACAAATCCTACACAAGCACAGTTCAGTCTGGGACTCAAAATAGATGATGCCCAAAGTTATCACACAGTATTAAGACATCACTGGCTTGTTACTAGAATACATTTATATTTACAGACGCTCTTATTCAGAGCAATTTACAGAATAAGACTCTATCAAAATCTGTCTATCTCTAGCTGCACACTAGTGCAAGCTCCAGCATCTTTAAATAAGCTACATGATGTGTAGTTCATTTTAAAAACAAAGACAGTCAGTGAGGTCACACACTCTCCTGCAGAATGATGGTGGTTTACGACGTCCCCTTTCGTCCTTCATTTCTTCTGGAATTGGCAGCTACATTATTCATGAAGTGGTGAAGGAACAAATCCCAGTGACTAGCTTAAGTAAAATCCTAGTTGTCTGAGCTTTTAGTTCGTATTTAAACCTCACTTTTAACTCAGCTACAGAATAATGATAGAGAATTTTTTAATCCTTGTTTGCAGTGCATGCGTTTTTGTTGATCAAAATCCACTTAAGGTTTATAGGGTTAAATTTTCCTCCTAACATTCAGAATTGTATCTAATCATTATTCCATGTGAACTATTTTTGTAAACCACAGAACTAGCAAAATGGCAAAAATGCATTCAAAGCACATGCAGCTGTGCTGATGTCTATGTATCGTAGGAATTTTTGCTAGTAGCCGCTACAGACACAAACTAGCAGTCCTCAAGAGCCATCCTAGAGGAGAGATCAGTGACTGCTAATGTGAACGCAGCACATACAGTAGCTGCTTCTTGTAGGTGGATTTGTTTAATTTCTTTCTTTATTTTCGTAATGATGGAAAATCTGAAAGTTTTTATTTTTCCCCTCATTTGCACGGCAGATCCGCATGCCCATTGATGTGTTCATGACGCACGACTGGCCGCGGGGCATCTACCACTACGGGAGCACGGAGCAGCTGTTGAGGAAGAAGAAGTTCCTGCGTGATGAGGTGGAGTCGGGCACGCTGGGCAGTCCAGCCGCCGCTGAGCTCCTCAATCACCTGCAGCCTGGCTACTGGTTCTCTGCACATCTCCACGTCAAATTCGCTGCCATGATGCAGCACGAGGTACTAATTCATTATTAAAAGTGGCAGTGGTGACTCAGTGGTTAAAGGCTCTGGGTTATTGATCAGAAGGTCAGGGGTTCAAGCTCCAGCACTGTTGGGCACTTGAGCAAGGCCCGTAACCCTACGCCTTATCATGACTGACCTCGCACTCTGACCCCAGCTTTCTAACAAGCTGGAATATGCGAAGAAAGCATTTCACTGCACTATAATGTACACGTGACAAATAAACGCTTTCTTCTACAGCCAGTATTGACTTTGTCTCTGTGTTCATAGGCCAGGGGTAATGCAGCTCCTAAGACTACCAAGTTCCTCTCTCTGGACAAGTGTCTTCCTCACAGAGACTTCCTTCAGGTAACAACACGCTGATGCAGTAATACTGGCTCTCTAGTACAAGGAATTGTGAAGTATTGTACTAAATGCTGTCTTGGAGTGAATTATATGCCAAGAAGACATGGTTAGCACTGACGAGGTGAGCTACTATATAATAAATAAGTCTTAACGTTATAGGTAGTGGAGATAGCAGACCGACCTGGCTCCTCTGAAAAGCTGGAGTATGATCCAGAGTGGTTAGCCATCTTGAAGGCCACCACCCGCCTTCAGAAACCTTCACCAAACATCTGGCACCCCCCAGAGAATAACGGCCTTCACAGTCGGTAAAACATTACTACACATTGCACAACCCAGTGTCGCTACACATTGTGACGACGATATGCTTTGCTGTTTATTAAAACTGGTAGGGGAAAAAAAAAAAAAACATGCTCACAGAATATATATCTTCAGTGAAATTAGTATCACAAAGACAGTTATTGCAATAACCATCATATTGTGCCCTTAAACCCATTGTCCATTTTGAAGACTCGCTTGTGATACAGTAGATTCTGTTCATGATGGCATCTAATTGATATCAATTCTTGTTACCTCCCCATTTCTTCTTCTTCTTTTTTTTTTCTTTTTATCTGCTATGTGATCTCTGAACTAGACAGTGGGTGAAGGAAACTTTGGCATGCACTAATAATGTGTACAGGTTTTCAAATGCTCAGTTAGCCATTTGAGGCTTCAGTACTTGAATACTGAAATCACTAATCGGTAATTTGTGAAATCGGTGAGAAAATATGAAATAGAAAAGCAATATCTGGTAATAGTTTGATGCAGAGTGCAGCACTGCCAAGGTAGAGGTGGACTAATAAATTCTCAGGAGCAGGTGGTGGTTAGTGTCCTGCAGGCAGGAGGGAGTGGTCAGATGTGAAGAGAGAGAATACATGTTCAGTAATGTTTAGTACATCTAAAAACTAAAGTGTGCATGTGGCGGCGGGGGCGGAGTCGGGAACGTGAGTGGTAGGTCTGAGCCCACACCTGGGGATGACTGACTAACGAGGGCTCTGTATGGAGTCTGGTGGATGCCGGCGTGGGTTTGGATGAGGGCCAAGGGCTCCATGGCAACAGATCTTCCTCAAGCTTCCGAGTTTCCGTACCAGTGTGACATTCCTGTGTTTGTATGGGAATGAGGCAGCGAGACACAGGCTTGGGACAACTTAAAAGGGTTGTTATTATTGTCACTTTTCTTCCTGGCCATGCTTTTCAGCGCTTTCTGTCCTACATTCTCTCCCCGAGACACACCAACATAGACACACAGTACAGTACAGTACAGTACAGCTCCGCTCTCTCTCATGTGGCTCTCGTTTCTCTCTCTTTATCTCCTCGCCACCGCTCACTGAAACACAGAGCCCTCATTAGTCAGTCAGTCACAGGTGCAGGTTCATCCTTGCCACGCGTGCAAGGATTTCTCCGTCCTCCATTCCCAAACCATCGCTCGACCACACCCCTGCTGCCACATGGCACAAATTACATGGGCTATCTTGGGTTTGCAGATTAAGTCCTTTTTATACATGCTCTCACATGGAGCATTAATTTCTGTGTTTAAACTTTAGTGAAGTTAGAATCTGAATAGGTGCTAGTGTGTCCTGTTACAGTAGGGCTACAGGGTGAAATGCCGAGCTCACATTCAGTAAAGCTTTGCCGTGGATTTAATATTTCTGTTCATCATTTCTGTCAAACACAGAAACCCGTGTAACATCACTGGTTAACCAAATATCTGTTATACAGTTATAGGCATAAGGCGCATCCCTAGTACAAACCAAATCCTGTTCTTCAAGCATGTATAGATATTTCACACACCTGTCTCTAGTCTCAGTGTACGCCAAAGTCTGTCCTCAGTTGACCTCATTGTGCTTTTCCTTTAGTTGGGACTACAGTGCATCAGAGGAAGCCATGATGGAGATAGTGAGTGCTTTAAACGGTGAGCTCTGCATCCCTGAGAACTTCAGTCCAACGGTGCCCGCTTATGACCCCTCTCGCCCTCAGCCCCACGCCCCCCCAGCCTACTGCACCAACCCGCAGACAACAGAGTTGTGTGCCACCCTCGGTCTCGTCGACATCTATGCTCTGGCAGGCCAGAGCGCACAGAACTCTACATCCTGGAGAGAGGAAGGAGCAAATGAAGAAGAGGAGGACGAGGACAACCGGAGCTCAGGTAGCGTAGACGAACCCAGCGAGTACCCCACTGACTCCTCGATGCTCTCCAATTCCTACAACCCTGACGAGATCACCATTGAGGATGAGTGGGAGGAGGAGGAGGAGGAGGAGAAGGATGGAGGAGAGGTAAAGATGACTGGGACAGATGCAGTGGTTCCTGAGGCTCCGGTAGGAGCGCAGGACAGTGATAGGGACAGCAGCCCCCAGCGAGAGGCCGTGGGCAGGCTCGTCTTACCACCTCCTCGCACAGCAGCAGAGATAGACGAGCCCTCGGATTTGCCTCTTAGACTTCCTCCACCTTCTACACCGTTCTCAAGCTGTTTCTCCCAAACGAGCTCAGAGGAAGAGGGGGCCACGCCACCAGCCAGAGTGCCCAAGCGCCCTAGTGGAGAAACCAAGGGATCATTCAACCCCACAGGCAGCACCCCCAGGATCAAACGGCGCAACCAGACCATCTACACAGCAGCTGAAAATGAGGAGAGTTAGAAAAAGAGCGAGTGAAAGGGTGAAAATGTATGGACTGATGCAAATTAATTTTTTGAGAAAGAGCTTTTTAATGTTTTTTTTTTAAAATAAGTTTGTTCAATTAAGTACATTTCTTTAAACATCAATGAATTGTTGATAAAAATGGGTTTTAGAGAACAAAGCTACCATTATTATGGGATATTTTTTGTTTCTTACATGCCATCATTGTGATACACTTGTATGATATTCTCAGTGTCACTGTGATGTGTTTATTATTCATGATAAACATTTCATTATAACTAATTTGCGTCCTTCTTTATCAGTCACGTTTGTAGCTTTCTTTTTTAGACAGGATGTGAGCTTCCACTGACATCATATCATGACCTTAAGTAGGATTATAAGATTCTATCTTCCATTCAGTCTTAATCCTAAATTCACAATATGTTTAAAATGCACTGACCGTTCACTTTAACAGGAACACCTGTACATTCATGCACTTGATACTGGTCAAGAGCTTCAGTCAGACACCATCACGCTGACAAAATGTGATCTCAGGAACTTTACTTGTGGCATGGTTGTTGGTGCCAGATGGACTGGTTTGAATGTTTCAGAAACCGTTAATCCCCTGGGATTTTCACACACACAGCAGTCTAGAGTTGACATAGAATGGTGCAAAAAAAACAAAAAACATCCACTACACAGCAGTGCTGATGGTGGAAATGCCTTGTTGATGAGAGAGGTCAGAGGAAAATGGTCAGACTGGTGCGAGCTGACAGGAAGGCTATGATAACTCAAGAAACAATTCTTTACAACTGTGGTGAGCAGAGAAGCATCTCCCAACACAACATGCAAATCTTGAGGTGAGAAACTGGACAGTTGAAAATTGGGAAAACATGGCCTGGTCTTTTTCCAGTCTTCAGCTGTCCGGTGTACTGTATGTCTCTTGAAATTAAGCATTTCAGGTTACCTATGATTAGTATAAAATCAGTTGTTTAATGAAAAATAAAAGGGTTATCTATTGAATTATCCACTTTCATGAAGGCAGAACAACACTGTATGGGCAAAAGTTTGTGGACACCTAACCATCACACCCATATGTGCTTGTTGAACATCCCATTTCAGATTTATTCCCCCTTTGCTGTTATAATAACCTCCACTCTTCTGGGAAGGCTTTCCACTAGATTGTGGAGCGTGGCTGTGGGGATTTGTGTTCATAGAGCTACAAGAGCATTAGTGAGATCAGACACCGATGTTGGTGAGGAGGTCTGGGGTTCAGTCGGCGTTTCAGTTCATTCCAAAGGTGTTCAGTGTTGTTGAGGTCAGGGCTCTGTGCAGGACACTCGTTCTTTCACTCCAACTTTGGCAAACCATGTCTTCATGGAGCTCGCTTTATGCACAGGGGCCTCGTCATGTTGGAAGAGGTTTGGGCCACTTAGTTGCAGTGAAGGGAAATTGTGTGCTTCCAACTTTGTGGCAGCGGTTTGGGGAAGATTCACATTTGGGTGTGATGGTCAAGTGTCCATATAGTATATCATAAGCACACAAATCATTTACCCCTAAATGTGCTTGCTAGTATAACGCACTAAATGTGACATCTGCAAATAATCTCTATTGCTAAACTATCTGGAGTTACTTAAGGGTTTTTTGGATAATCTCTAATCTAAATGCACTAATCTACATAGAAGCTTTGAGGGACAAATCAGTGAATGCTACTTGGTGCTAGATGGGACCTTTTCCAATCGAAATTATGCAAACTAGTATAAATTATTTTATAGGGGTCCCTGGAGGACTAGTGGTTAGGCCTCAGCGGTGGCTGGGGTTTGATTCCTTGCCAGGGAACCAAACCCAGCCACTGGGGTTGCAGAAAACGGTGCACTCCCAGTGCTGGTCCCAGGCCCGGATAAAATTAGGGAGGGTTGCGTCAGGAAGGGCATCCAGTGTAAAAACTTTGCCAAATCAAATATTTGGACCAATGATCTGCTGTGGCGACCCCTAACGGGAGCAGCATAAAGAACAACAACAGTATCAAATTATTTTACAGTGCTCACTGGCTTTTCGTTTGTTGTTCCCTACACTCAATCAACTTTGCTGAGTTGTGAG